ACTATGGTCACAGCAATCAACTCAACATTTTGGCAGCCAAACCTATTCTTAGTTATAACTTCGTAATGATGTATCCCATAATTTTGATTTTCTAGAACAATAACTAGAACAACCCAGAACAGCAAAGAAAATCAGATTTTTCCAAAAATAGTGGTTTAGTCAAAAACCCGTTTTTTCGGTTTTTCTCCCCGAGTTTTTATTTTTCCTATTTGCCGCTTTGGAACAATGTAGAACAACTATGAAAAATTTAATAATAAAAAATGGGGTGCTAACTACCCGCACGCAAAAATTTGTGATATTTTTATCATCTATGCACCATACACATTAAATAAGTAATTGCGAAATAAATTACAAACCAAATATTGTCTTGGAATATAACGAAACAAAGAGAGGAGTTGATGTCTTGAATAAAATCGTTCGAAAATACAGTTGCCGTAGAACTACTAGAAAACGGCCATTTACATTTTTCATGAGTTATTTAAAAAAATTCCTGATTAGAATTCCTGGCTGGAAATGTTTCTGCAAAAAGATGAAGGAAAATGTTCTTACAAGAACTAGGTATATTACTTATTCAACCCGAAATTAATCGTGGAGCATGAAATATTGAAAAAGATAGAACGGGAATATCAAATAGTATAAAAATTGCAATTGAAAGTACAGGAAGAAAAATAACTTTCTGACCGTCAACAACCCAAACGCTGCGATATCATCAATGTCGAGGAAGTGACTTAAAGCATTCCATAAAATGTGATTCCTGTACTAAATTTGTGTGTAGTGTACAGGGTGGGCAAATTTGGGTGTTATTATAGGCTATCTCAGAAACTATAGAGAGATAGAGATAGGAAAAAAGTAGGTGCCATGTCTCGGTCTCTTTTTTCGAGACTAACCCAATCCCGCAAACACCAAACCTCTATCTTCTTTTGTTTTTAAGTTATAGCCAAAAAGTCAAATTTTCGTGATTTCAAAAAATGCTCATATTTCGTTTATTTTTGAAATTAGAGAAATGGGGTTGATACGTTCTTAAGACACTTTTTTAAGTAGAACATACTGCCGTTGAAAACAAAGTTGTATTTTTTTAAATACAAACTATACTTGATTATGATGTTAATGAAAAGGGCATATTTTTAGCTTTCCAATGATGTATCGCATGTATGGTGCATTTGCGGAAAATAAGCGTTAATTTTTAATTTCAAAATAGTAAGCGCTAAAGGTCAAAATTTTGATTATAGTAGGCGGGTTCGGACAGGAATTACTAATTACTATCTAATTACTATATGGTTTTGCACGAACATGACAGAAAGTTGGTCTTGTATCATTATGCAGGATAAACTTGGTTTTTGGTACAAAACGAATAAAAACTTTGAATAGTTGATTTAAATTTCTCAGTGTCTTATCCCTGACTTTGTTCACCAATAAAAAATGATTTGTAGATAAAGTTTGTTTATTAAAAATAAAAGAAACGTATTAATTAATGAATAATTACTGAACAACAACTTCAGGAACTAAACAGTTACAGACTGTGTCATCAGTTGGGTATCAATGAATGAAATCTTCGGTAGTATCTTCCCAGTTTTCCCCAACCATGAGATTTAGAAGTTTTTTCATATTAGCAACCTTTTCTTTTGAAATTGGGTGAGATATAGGAAGATTAGGGATCATAAACTGGGCAGCGAACTTTCCATTGAAACGATGTTTATATGGGATATGGTGCCTTATCTATCATTTTCAAAGAATCATTTTTTAATTTTATCGCTTTATGTATTTAAAGATAATGAGGAATTTTTAAGCGGGAAACTCGTTTCGAAAAATTAATGAATGAAATGATCAGTAAACTCCCTTTACTATAGTAACTAAGTGGCATTTAACGTTTTCCTCGCCTACTATAATTAAAATTTTGAATATTAATCTTTAATATTTTAGAATTAAAAAAAATCCGCTCCCTTAGTGATTCGAGTTAGGGGAATTTCACTGTATATCTAATACAATATCTTTCTTTAATGCATTAAAATAACTTATAATGGCTCAAATCCATACTTATTTAAACAAATTCAATTACAGTCAATTTTCAATTTTTTCTTCTGCTGCTTTGCATAAAAATACTTTTGGAGAGTTGTTGATATATCCAAGCAGAAAAATTAATTTTACGTAAAACAGAAACTGTTGTTTGTTTTGCCTAAATTGATCGATGTTGGAGTTGTTTCTGTAATTTTACCTCTAAAATTGTTAAAGTTAAAAAACAATAATGTAACGTTTAGTAGCAATCACGACGTGATTTAATTGCCTATTAAAATTTCTTAATTCTGAGCAAAACAGCATCATAAACCATATGAACCGCATTCCACGGTTGAGAAAATTTTTGTGTCTTGGAATACTTGCTAAGTAATAAGTACATTAAGATTACTATACGCACATTAATACACACACTTCGCATGAAAAATTAATAATATAAAAATTGACTACAAAATTTAATAAAGATTGTCGTATAGCCAACAAAATGGTTGAAAAGGTTGGTAAGTCAAGTTTTTATTTTGTGATGAATATTGGTAATTTATTGCTGGCTAGTGATGAGATAAGTTTAGTGATTTTGCAGGTACAGTAAAACCTAGATATAACGGACAAAATATTTAAATGTTAGCACTCATATATAGAATCCAACTCGGGTTATTCCCAGAATTGTCTATACTATGTATAAATCAAGGACGGTAGTTCTAGTTTTAATTATTATTCACCGCTAGATTGTTGTATGTTTTTATTGAACTAAAAATAGAACTAACACTAGACCTAGACCTAAAAACCTTCGGATTTAGCCGTCTTAAGAGACGCACCGCTAAACCTGAATGTTTCTAGTTCTAGTGCTAGGGTTATCTTTAATTTTAGTTGTTATTCAGTAGATTGTTGTATATTTTTATTGCAATAATCATCTTCTTCATATGCCTTTCAAGTGACGCTGTTGTCTAATAATAATAAAATAAATTCTAATTTTAAAGTAATAAATTCTTTCCCCTTTAAACTCCATAATATTGTGTAAAAATAAACAGTTTCGCCTATCATAATTTTTGAGATTATAGATTATTTGCCGACAATTTGCAGATAATTGTCTCGTCTAAAATTCATCGAGGTCGGTAAAGAACGCTGAAACTGTAAAATTCTTCTTTGTGTTGATTAATTGCAGGTATAATACATGTGGGTCAGCTCCCACTAATTCCAGAGTTATTAAAGGATGATATTATTAATTATTACGAGATCCGGTGGAACTATTTTATTTACACGACTCAACACGAATTTAACTGAAACTTTAGTAATAACAGTTACGTTTAGTGTCTTGTATAACACTGCGCTACTAAATAGTTACTGACCCTTTAAAGTTACACAACAGTATATGCAATGACTTATATATACCTGGTGTTTCAGAATTGCACGGCAATATTTTAGGGATGTATTCTTCAGCACAAAATAAACAAAAACATTCATATAAACATATGTTCCAAATTAATTTATTACCGAGATATTTAAAGTTGAAGTAAAACATCTAAAAGTATTGCGTTAAACAAATAGCCATAGACAACAATCGCATATTGTTCTTTTTGCTTGAGAGATGATTAAATATCTACTATTAAATGTGTTAATTAGTGTTTAACATTAATTATTAATAAAAATTTTTCTAGTGCTGTTCGGAGAATTTAATCTTTTACTATTTATCATGGGAGACACCACAAATTTGTTCACTTTGCAGAATAAACAAACATGTTGTTAACCCTTGAATAGACGCGCATGAGACTGGCAATCCATTTTTATAATTACGTAAAAACTATTACAGCTACGGCTCTCTGGATATTTGAGATCTCAAAATGATGTTTTAGGAACTCTTTACATGAGTTTCAAAGGAAGGTTCAGTTTTATTACTTTGTAAACACTCAAACAATGCCGCGCGTACATGATTTGGGACTGAAAATCCCAGCGCGTGTATTTACGTTTCCTTTTTTTCGGCGAACGTTGATTCGGTAGTTCAGGCACATATTCGGCAGTTTTATTTTTTAGATATCTCCTTTTTATTTACGTGTTAGTAAATTGTTTAGTTCTGCATTTCTTTTAGGTATCAATTTTATATAAAAATAAGAATAAAAATATATTAAACCGTTTTTGTGTTGCATTCATGAATGTATCCTATGTTTTGTAATACGACGAAAATCCCCGCTGGGATTTACTTCTCACTTATTCTACGTTGATCGGGCAGTTTCGTTATAGAATAGACAACTTTTTTGGTTTATTGTTAGTAAACAAGAACAAGTGTATAAGAATGGACAAAAAGCCTTGTTATGACTTTGCTAATGCCGCTGATGTAGATAAAGTTTTGGCAGGTAAAGATGGAATACAATGAAAAACAACACCATGGAAACAAACTCACACACGCCCCATAATATTTCAGTAAAATTAGCCGGCGTAGTAGGTAGATTTGCAAAAGACGCTAAAAGTGAACAGGATTGTTTTAAGTTATTTTTTGATAATAATATATTGAGCATCATAGTTGACAGTACAAATAAGTACATATTGAATATAAAAGAAAAATTTGTTCGCGATGGAGATTGCAACCTCTCTGACATTATTGAAATTCAAGCTTTACTGGGGTTTTTATGCTTGGAAGGAGTTTTTCGAGACGGTCATCAAAATATTTGTGATTTTTGGTTATCTAATGGCTTAGGACTCGATATCTTTAAAATGGTTATGTCAATTTCACGATACGATGCATCCGATTTGATGACCGATCTACACGACAAAGAAGGTGTGAAACTGACAAGTTAGCGGCAGTTCGTGAAATATTTGTTTTATTTATTGAGAACTGCAAATTACATTACAATTTAGGCGAAAACGTCACTATTGATGAGATGCTTCCAGCCTTTCGTGGTAGTTGTGGTTTCCAGCAATATATACCGTCAAAGCCAACAAAATATGGTATAAAAATGTTTTGTCTTGTCGACGCAAAGCTCTTTTATACTGCCAACATGGAGATCTATTACGGCCAACAACCTGACGGACCCTACAAACAAAGTAATTCTGCAGAAGATATTGTCATGCGAATTTCAGAGCCAATTTATGAAAGCGGAAGAAATATTACCACAGACAATTGGTTTACAATTTTAAAGCTTGTAAAAGCTTTGGAAAAGAAGAAAATATCGTGTGTTGGAACTGCCCGGAAAAACAAAAGAGAATTGCCACTAAGTTTTGCTTTGCCAAAACGTACAGTACAGTATGACGGCATTTTCGGTTACGCAAGAAACGAAACCCTTGTCTCCTACGTACCAAACAAGGGTAAGACTGTTGTATTGCTATCAAGCTTGTATACGTCAAACAATGCAGTGGCAGATAATAGGGAACGAAAACCAGAAATTATTGAACACTATAATAGTATAAAATCTGGAGTGGACGTAGTGGATAAATTGTTGTACTACGTACAACGTTGCCAAAGCAACAAGGTGATGGCCGATGGTCATCGTATCATCTATTGAATGCAGCAGCGATAAGTGCTAGAATTATTTTTTTTGGCAATGGCAACGAATATATCTTAAGGTGAACAGTTAGTTGCCGAACAATTGAAGAGGAACTCGCTTATTCAGTCATTGCCAAATGATGCTAGCAAAGCCTCAGCCAACAACACCAGACGACAACAATCAACCTGGAACATGTCGAAGATCTATTAGAAGGAAACGATGCGAAGTAAGCTTCGCGAAGCTTACTACATAGAATCGAAGAAGGACGCCAGAATAACCTTTACACGCGAAAAGTGTAAACCTATAATTTATGTTTGAAAAAGCACGTTAAATCAATTTGTTAAAATTGCCTTAAAGGTAGTAGTGAAAGAGACGTGGATAATGAATCCGAATAATATATTTTCAATAAAATAAACATATACAATAAATGTATTCGTACCTATGTAGTTTACAAATTATTAAATGTTAACTTTGATGAAAGTTAGATATCACTTGCCGTTTTATACCCTAATATTTTCAGGTTTAAGATACTTTAATAAAACAACTTGCCGTAAAACAATTTAGGTTATAATTCAAAATTTAATAGGTAGTATAAAAATTGAGCTGTTTTCTGCTATGGGACTTTTAGTCGCAGCGCGTGTGTTGGCGAAACCCTATCTTCCTGAGCTGCCTCCTAGTTACTGACGAATCTTGTTTTACCAGAAATGGGATTCTTAATTTTCGAAACACCCATACTTGGCACGAAGAAAACTCTCATACGATTGGTTCTAATCATTACCAATATACTTTTTCCTTAAATGTCTGGTGTAGTCTTCTTGGCGACAATCTCATTGGCCTTTTTTTTACCACCCAGGCTTTTCGGAATATCTTACTTGAATTTTTTGCAAAATAACTTGTATGAGCTCTTAGAAGAGATTCCGATTGCCGATAGGCAGGGAATGTGGTTTATGTATGACGGTGCCCCTTCTCACTTTTCTCATCTCTCCACTGATTATTTAAACAGAGCATATGGTAACCGATGGATTGGTCGAAACGGACCTGTGAATTGGCCACCATGGTTTTCTGATCTAACACCGTTAGATTATTTTGTGTGGGGCTGCATGAAATCTATGATTTACTCTACGCCTATCGGCACCCAAGAAGAGCTCAGAAATCGCAGCGTGGAAGCCGCAATAATTAGCAATGGTCGTCCTGATGCTATAAAACTTGCCAGAGAAGCTTGGATTCATCAATGTTGCATTCAACAAAACGGGAACCATTTTGAACATTTACTCTGACCGCTTCATTGACAAAATAAAATTGTATATTTTCAATATCTCGGTAATAAATTAATTTGAGACATATGTTTACATGAACTGTTTTGTTTATTTTGTGCTGGAGAATACATCCCTTAAATTGTGTTGTGCAATTCTGAAACACTCTGTATAATCTGGCTTATAATAGCGTGTTAAAGTGCACATTATTGCAAAAAAATTGTTAAAACTGAATGAATTTCCATGCGCATACCGGGCCTAAAATTGGATTACAATTGAATAATATATATATTTCAGAATCAAACGGATGATTTCATAAAATAAGTTTAGTCATCATTAATCCTTTTTATTTTTATACAATTAAAAAAAGAAAACTGATTTGTTTTGGTAGATATTTTTTTAAACACGCAAAAAATTGTTTATTTGTCTGGTTAATCCACAACGTGTGTTTTTGAATGATACATAACCAGTTTATGTGTGGAAACAAAAACTTCTTATTTATTTCGATTTTTTAACAACCTTTTTATTATTTCAGGTTTTAGATATCAGTTGGAATGTTCCGAAGACTTTTGGTAATGGCCGGTCTGCAAACCTGCAACTCCGACTGCTCAGGTCGCGGGGAGTGTCACAATGGCACCTGTTACTGCGAAATCCGCTACTCCGGAGACTATTGTAATTTTCCCAATTTACCATACCACGCGGCTATTGGAGGATTATTTCTTTTGGTAGCATTAGTTTGCGCAATTCAGCTCGTGATGTGTATCGTATTCGAGTATCGGCGACTGAAGGCTCCCACGTTTCTTAAAGCGTGCAAGATTACAACACAAAAACTTCTCTACTTTGTTACATTTCTTGCGAGCGCAATACGTGGGGGATACTTTTTATCACCCGTAAGTTAAATTGTTTTAATTTTTTTAATTTTAAGTTTAACTTTTTTTTTAAGGAAAATTTTAAATTTGGATGGTCGAGGAGTTTATTATCGGCCTATTACCCATTGTTGATGTCCGGATCATCTTTATTGGTGTGTTTTTGGGCAGAGGTATGAATACTTTTTTATTGCGTCTAAAAATCAGTCACTATCTTATCTATTAACAAATAATCTCCATGAACAATCAAAGGCTATTTCTTAACCATTTGTTTGCTTTTTTATTGAATTAAATTATTTTTAAATTAATCATGTCAAATTAATAGGGTTATTAACAAAATAGTAACAAAGAGGTCGTAATATAACAACTAACAATAACTTAATAAGGTAATCACTGTAATTTATATTCATTGTACAGCCCTAGGAAGAAATTACTGCTCTACATATTTGGTGTTAAATAATGGGACCATAAAATTGTACGTGTTTGTTTTGTTGTAACATAAACATGGAGTGCATTGGTACTCATAAATAATTGTGGATGTTAAGTATTTATTTCGATTAGTGCGAGCGAACTGATATGAACAGGTCAATTTTAACTTGCTTATCAGGGCAGATGTACCCGTCGTACTTATTTTGATTATTATTTCAAACAATTATAGCTTATTGTTAGTGTCGTAACAATTTTGATCCGTGCAGTGTAAATAACTTCGCAAAAAAACATTTTTTTATTTGTTTCTTTTTAATTCTAACTTAAGGTGAGTTCTTAATTAAATTGACTTATTTATTTTGGCTAAATTAATGTCATTTTGATGGATTAAGTAATTTATAACCTAAAATTTAAACCCTAATTTTTTTTAATCAATAATATAAGTAATGATCCTCTTATCTTAGAGAAAGTAAGTCTAAAAGACATTATGATTATTTTTTTTACTATTTTAATATTTGAAATTCTCCACATAATATTAAATTTACGTGTATCTTTAATGAGAAGCAATTTAACAACTTTTTATTAAATTATTTTGTGGAAAGTGAGGGTAATTATTAAGAATAAACAAGTTATTATATGCATCGTTTTTAAAATAAGTGTTTAAGTTGTCAAGGAGACTGTATGTTGGTATAAGTGTATCTTAATGTGGTGATAAGACCAGAATCAGTACAGTCTGTTTATAGGCTATTATTCTTTATCAAAGTTGAACCCTATTTTTATAATTTGATATCATTTATATAAGTGACAGACTATATGTCTTGTGAACAGTACAGCTTTATTTTCCGTCTCAATAAGTGCATGTAATTAATTGTAAGGACAACAACAGTAAGTTATATTATAATATCTTTTTCTCTATGGTTCTACAGCCCGAATCAAGCCTTGGTCTTCCTCAGCATCTAATTTTCGCTGTCTCTGCCAGTTTCAAACCCTCAATTATATCCTTAGCATCCCGTTCGACTTCATCCTCCCGTCTCATCCTCGGTCGCCCTCCCAGTCTCTCTCCATGCATCCTTCTATTGATTAGTCGCTTAGGCATTTTCTCTTCTCCCATTTTAATCACCTGACCAGCCTACCTTAAACGCTGGAGTCTGATGAACTGCAGTTTATGGTTAAATAATATGGCACTAGCCCTATTATTCTCCTTAATGTCTTTTTTTCAAAAATATTTTCAATTTCTGCCGACTTCTGAGTCAAGGTCCATGATTCACTATCGTAACTTATAATGCGTCTAATGATTGATTAACTTTTTGGGTATAACTTGAAAACAAAAGAAGATAGAGGTTTAGTGTTTGCGGGATTGGATTAGCCTCGAAAAAAGAGACCGCGACATGGTACCTACTTTTTTCGTATCTCTTATACAGGGTTTCTCAAAACTGCCGGGACGGAGCTATAAGTTTTGAACGAGTGAAGAAAAAAATTTTAAAATTTGGGGATCACTAAAGAGTCATAAAAACTACATTCTTAGATAGTTTAGAACTTCCATGCAATGTAGAGTTTTTTTATTGGATGACCACCCCTACATTTTTAAATAGCAACCCCTATCGAGTTTTACCTTATTTTAAAGGTAATGGCAAAAGAAACACATCACAACTTAGGTTGCGGCTTTCGCGAACCTGAGCTACTTTTTACGGGTTCTAATAGATTTTTTCACGTAGAATCCAATGGTGCACGTAGAATTTTTCTAGTCATCACGGTTTTTGAGTTATAAGTATTTTAGAAGTTGAGTATTCAGTGTTTGAGTTGTGTTTATATCTCAAAAACCGTGATGACTAGAAAAATTCTACGTGCACCATTGGATTCCTTGGATAGCCGAGATACAGGAGGTGTCTGAAAATCGTAAATTTCAAACACTCCCTGTATATCAAAAACGAAGAGGGCTATGAAAATTTGGTTTGCGCCATTGTAAGTTTCACAAAAAAGTAGCTCATGTTCGCGAAAGCTGCAACTTTCTATTTTTCATAATAACTGAGATACCTTGGAAACCCATCGAAGTTTGGACACCCTGTACATAGCGTTTTAAGCTTCTGCAGCTCCTGAAACTCAACGTAATAGACATATTTTCGAAAATGATAAAACCCTTTCCCGTAGATCATATCTTTAGGTACTATGGTCAGAAATTTTCGCAATTTAATAGTGATTTTTTTAATAATGTAATCCTTATTAACCATGCTCCTATAAAAGTCACGCGCCCTACCATACTTCAACAAACTTTACTAAATCAGTTTTTGACACTTAGGAAATTATTACTGAAAAAGTATCGATGACGTCATAACTCGTTTAAAAATGGCGGAAAAAATTTAAAATCATCAAAAAATTGAAACAAATTTAAATCATTTCAGGGATTTTTCCATAAACCATTTATAATGATTTTATCGTCTATATCTACGCTACTTTACGGATATACTTTATAAATAATTTTTTTAATTATTAATTAATTTTTAGGTTTTCCATCTACGTGATATTTGTTGGGAACGACCTCAATTCCTGTCAAAATCATTTTTTGGCTTCATCAGCTTCAACATAATCAGCTACAGCTTCTTATTGGCAGAAGTTGTAGTAACCCAAATCGCTAGTTCGCCAACAGACGACATAAACTTCTACACACATCTCTTCAATGGTTGTTACGCCGTTTTACTCTTCGTTGTTGTAATTTTCTTTTTGATATACGGCGTTGAAGTTTTCTTCAAAGTGCGAGGTGGTTTCATCGCAAAACAAGTTCAAATTGGAAGTACCCCCGAAAACGAACCGCTTCGCCCAGACGATCTTCGCCCGCAAATAAATAACTCTCAGTTGCACCAATCTAGAGTTGGACTATTGAGCCACGCTTTGATGCTCATTGTAATTGTGGGTTTCTTATTTTCGGAGACGCTTAGCGAGTTTTGGAAGACGAAGGTGCCGGTTTATTCGCGAAATTGGCACGATATCCTCTTCCGCGTCGTCGAAATCGGCGTTGCAATCTGGTTTCCGGCTGTACTTTGGAACTGTATGCAGCCCTCGGAGTTATGGATACTCAATCCGAAAAAACTTTTAGCAAAACTCGATCAAAAAACCTCCGAATATTTACCTAGCCAAGAAGTTTGTACTTTAGAATCGGATGAATTTGAAAAAACTGAAGAGTGTTGGATTTGTTACGACGACAAAAACGAACCTTTTATTAAACCATGCGCGTGTACAGGGGATTTATCCAGCGTTCATCATGATTGTTTAAAGCGATGGTTAATGGAAAGTCCTTCAGGTAGTGTTGAAAAACTTCATTGTAAAGTTTGTAAACAACCGTATGATGTTCATTGTACAACGCGATTGGATTGGGAAAAAGGATTTACTGCTCAACATTGGGGAAGCACAGCTGTGATTGTTACAGTACTTTGTGTAACAGTAGCTGGAGCTTGGATTGTAATACAACTTTTTGAGAATTCTTATATTCGAATAATCGCAGCTAGCATAGCATTGTTGATTATTTATGTTTGTATCAAGTAAGTTATTACTAAAAATCAATACTAAATCGATACTTATATAATTTTCTTCAACAGATTTTTAGGACAAAATACAGTAACTGCTTACCAAAGAGCCAAACTGGGTGGTTTGAATATAAGCGGACGAGTAACGACCATCAGTGCCAATATAACGATTGGTGTAGATCCTCCAACGACGAATGATCCTCAAACAGCGATATAAAAAATTGAGGATCAGAAAAATCGTTTACTTTTATGTGATATTTATGTTTTAAAATGAAAAAGAAGAAAGCTCGCGGAGTGTCTCGTTTTCTTTTTTTGTGTATAAATTGTAGATAAATTTAGATGTTAGTTAAATTTGTATATATTTGAGTGAATTGTTGATTTTTATAATTACTATTTGATGGAGTTTCATTTAAGTTTTGTCGAAAAAAAATTCGTTGTTTGTATCGTTAGTACAAAGGAGGCAGAAATAAGATTAATTTTTTTCGTTTTGTGAGTTCGTGTGCGCGTGTGTGAAATATTATTAAGCCGTGTAATTCTTCTGTAGGGTAAATAAGGGCAATTTCAAAGACAAATACAGTAATAACAATATTAGTAATTTAGTAAATTAAATTTTACTTGTACATCAAATATATTGTGATTTAAAAATTTACCATAGGCAGGCAGAAGTTTTACTAAGAGGTATATGATAGGAATTTATCTTAGAACACTTTTTTCTGTATTTTTATTTATTTTTAATGTACTATTAAAATAATACAGTATTAGATGTATGTTGTAACATACATTCGATTGATCTGAATAAATATTAAGTATTCAATAAAGAATATTAATAATCTAACAATTGTAAGGTTACTAAGGTAAATAAACACAAATAATTCGAAATCGTAATGTTTTTAGAGATATAAAAGAAATACCTAGCAATTTTTCATTAAGTTGTTTATTCAGATAACTAAGAAATTCTACTAAATTGATGAAATATTGGAGTTTATAATAAAATTTGAATAAGTGTTTATGTGCCATTGGTATCTTACATTTTCTTTTTACTCGTAGGGTCGCAACTCTTTTGTTTTCAACCTATAAGCTTGCAAAGTTGAGCCAAAATTTACATTTTGTTTTGTATTTCGGCTGTAAGTGAACCGTAGAATTTGAAACTTTCTACGTATTTACTATTGGTTAAGACCATATTTTCAAACATACCTTAAACTTCTCTAGCGTCCTCTAAAGGGATGAAATTCACCACCCCCTTGATTTTTTTTATGGAATATTAACATAAAAAAATGTGTAAAGCTCATTCTTTAGTGGCACTTTTTTGTCTCTTTAGTATTTTCCTTAATAGTTTCCGTGTAAAAAATTACCGCTATGTGCCGCCATATTTAGCTAAAATTATTCTAAAAGTTGGGTCTGAGAACTTGTAAGTTTCATTTACGGTGAATCTTCATAATTGTTGATGATTAGTCATTTTTGACTGTTATTAACCAGGAGTATCAATTTTTTAATATTGTTATTCATCTTATTTATAGTTTTTCTTATGAAAATCACAGTTGGTGTTATTTAGTTAGGAGAGGTTTGAAATTAAAATGTGATATTTCTGTACTTTTAACTGGTCATTTATTAAGTTTTATTAGATTTCCCACGGGTTGATTGGTACATTTCCAGTATGGTATTGCAGAAAAAAACGAGGTGTCAGGAACTTTTTCTTTAATCTTACAATACTTTTGGGACGTGTCTATATAATTAATATCGTCGACTTGTTTACAATTGCGAACGAACGTTGAGTACCATTTTTAGAGTCAGGATTTTTTATCACAACAAATTTTTCGCTGATATTAATATCTGCTAACTTCATTTTGCATAGTTCGTCATTAGTCATTACTGTCTAAAATAAAAATATTTTTGTAAAACTAGGTTAAATTTAAAAATGACATTAAAATACCTTCAGTAGTAAATAGACTTCATCTGATGCCTGTCGGCAGAAGTACAGGTGTCCAAATTTCGATGGGTTTGCAGGGTATCTCAGTTATTATGAAAGATAGAAATGTCACAAACTAGCTCTCGAGAACTTCTCGTTTCCCGTAGTGGGTTTCCTAGCTAGGTCCACGGAGCGGCTCGCGTACCCAACTGTCCACGCACTACCGTTTTCTTGATAGCTAGCAATGACTGAGTTAGGGTTTGGCACACTGCATTCGTTCACTTGAAAGCAAACGGCAGTAATTTGAAATTAAGAATAAAAATAGATTGAAAGAAAACGAAATTTCACTGCTAAAGAATAAGTTTGCTTTATTTTTGAACAAGAACGTATTATATTATATATAAAAAAAAACAACTGACAAAGGTTTTAAAAAGTAAAAATTACATGACATAAGCTATTCAACAACATCATTACGAAATTTGCCGAGGTGGTTAGCAGGTTCAATGAGAAATCGGAAGTTTAAGATTTTAATAACGCTTACCCGTTTGTTAAAGTAAAATATTCATCGAAGAAAGAGAATCCAATTCAACGAATTTTATAACTAAATTGCTATAAGTTCAAATCGCACGACTCGAATTTAAAAACACAACAAAAACTTTAATTTCCCGGTTTCGCCCGATGCTTTTCTGTTCCAATCCCGTAACCGACTCCCCGATTTTTTCTTCATTTCTCCCCTGCTCCATCTACTCTAACTGCCACCTCGGCACATTCCTGCCAGAACCGCCTACGTAGTATTTAGTCTGGACCCTCGGTTCTCAAGACGCAACTTCGTAATTAAATTACAAAGTTCTGCCTGTATTGCGTTTTATTATTTTTTTTTAATCGCTTTCGAATCCCAAAATGCGGTTTGTTACAGAAAGTTGCGGCATTCGCGAACCTGAGCTATGTACTTTTTTATGAAACTTACAATGGCGCAAACCAAATTTTCATAACCCTCTTCGTTTTTGATATTCAGCAAGTGTTTGAAATTTACGATTTTCAGACACCTCCTGTATCTCGGCTATCCGGAAACTTAGTAAAAAAGTAAAAACGGGTTCTAATAGATTTTTTCACGTGGAATCCAATGGTGCATGTAAAATTTTTCTAGTCATCACGGTTTTTGAGTTATAAACACAACTCAAACACTGAATACTGAACTTCTAAAGTACTTAACTCTTTATAACTCAAAAACCGTGATGAGTAGAAAAATTCTACGTGCACCATTCGATTCTACGTGAAAAAATCTATTAGAACCCGATTTTACATTTCCGGATAACCGAGATACAGGAGGTGTCTGAAAATCGTAAATTTTGAAACACTCCCTGTATATCAAAAACGAAGAGGGCTATGAAAATTTGGTTTGCGCCATTGTAAATTTCACAAAAAAGCAGCTCAGGTTCGCGAAAGCCGCAACTTTCTATCTTTCATAATAACTGAGATACCCTGCAAATCCATCGAAATTTTGACACCTGTACACTATATCTTTATGGTTAAGAATTCTCGACTTTTTCGAGGTATATCCATGGAATTTTAATATATCCGTATTTTCGTTGTATCGAAAACAGGTCTTCAACATTGAATATTCACACCACACACTAGCAGGTGATTGCAGTTTTTCGGAGCGTTCCACCATGTACGCCACTCCATTTTCCGTCAACTCTGTTGCGTTTCTTCTTTGCATCCAATCTTTGAAATAAGTGTATGTACCTTCATAACGCTTTTGAGATTTGAAGGGCAATAAATTCTCACAAGCAGCGTTCGCAATTTCTTCAATATCCATCTTCCTTTCACCGTAAAGCACGTATCAAGTTTTGAAATTTTTATTTGTTTGTGAAAATACCTACGATTTCTAAATTTTTTGAGTTATACCTTTTCAATTAAAAGCCTTCTATTTCATTTTAGTTTTAATAACCTGAACAAAAAAAAATTTAACCAACACGTGCGCCTACATTTTTTAAACTTTATTCAAAGCTATTGTGGTGAAATTAATCCGAAAACATCCAATGTTCCATACGATAATGTTCTCTCTTGATCTGTGGCACTCTCGTTGACGGTAAATATTTCTCTTAACTTACTAAAATTTACAAAATGGCTCATGTTTCTTTTCCCTTTTTATTAATTGTAATATTTTTTACTAATTGCAATATTTTTTACTAATTATATTATTTTTACTAATTGTAATATTTTTTACTAATTGTAATACTTTTTCTCTCTCCTACCTCTTATCAGTCAGCTGAAACATTGTTGCACCTAGTGATGTAAAGGGTAATATTACCGAGGAAATGTTACCGGTAATTTTGGTAATATTACCGCAACATCAGTAACATTGGAAATATTGTTTTTTTTTTCGCTCTATACTCTAATTTATTTGTCCAGCTGTACATGGCGTCACTGTCGCCGCGCGGCTGCACATATCGATCGGGGAATACCCGAAATCTAACTTGTGACAATTCCATGGTTCCCCGTGGCCCGCGGCAAGCGATATTTTGTAAACAATCTTCATCATAATTAGTGACATTATTGTTATAAAAGGTGTTGTTTGTAACTATCAGTGCGATTCCTATTAAATAACTGTAATTGTTTTGCCTTGTTATGTGATATTTGAACTGGTAAGTCTAGATATTTTTAAGTTGAGCTCTTCCCGAAATGAATGATGTTTATTTTGTAGTTACGATAATATGGTTAAGCCGAAGAATGATGTTGGAGGTACTACGATCTTAAAGATAAAGACAACTATTTCTGTAAATATTGTAAAACGTCCTTTAAAAGAAATGCTACCAGACAATTCCAACATTTGCTAAAATGTGTCAAAATATCTGAAAATGTAGTACAAATTCTTAAAAAAGGGAAATTACCTATAATAAATGTTTCCAGTAGTAACAATAACACCACGCCAAGTTCAACCGAGGTATTAGAAGATAGTGATGCTGATGATACTGATACTACCTCTCAGCAGGGGCAGGGAGAATCTTTAAATTCAGAAATGGCTTCACTAGTCAGGCCTGTGTCTTCATCAGCTAGTTCTTCATTTTCAAGTACTAATAAAGCATCAAAGGGTACAATTTCTTCGTATTTTGATAACATGTGCTCTCAAGAAAACAATAAGATTGATGAAATACTCGCAAGGGCTATTTATGTCTCAGGAGCCCCCTTAGATATGACAACGAAAAAAGTATGGTTAGATGTATCCAAAGCAATAAGATGCGCATATAAACCACCCTCTCGTTACCAGTTGTCAAATCCACTCCTCGAATCCGAGTACACTAGAGTAAAAGCTGCAGTTTCTTTAAAAATTAGTGAAGCACCTATCTTAAGCCTACAAATGGATGGATGGTCAAATTGCAGAAATGACTTTATATCTAATTTTGTTATTAATACACCTCTTCCGGTATTTTACAAATTAATACACACCAAAAATAACAGACATTAAGCAACATTTTTGGCCTCAGAAATTGAAAAAGTGTTGAAAGAATTAGGAGCTTCAAATTTTCTAGCTATTGTCACTGACAACGGAGCTAACATAAAAAAGGCTCGTGAAATAGTTAGCAGCAAGTACGATTACATTACTAATTATGGTTGTATTTGCCACGGTCTAAACCTTCTGGTTGAAGACTTCTTGAAATTAGACCATTTTTAAAATTTTAAAAAGAACAATTTCAATTGTATCTGAGCTGAAAAATTCGCAGATTTTACATGCAACGTTTGAAAAAATCCAGTTGGACAAAACGGGGCGATACATCTCTTTAAAATTGCCGGTGAAAACAAGATGGGTTCCTTTGTTTGTTGTCTAAAAAGCTTTTTGGACACTAAACATTCATTAAAAAGTTTAGCAGTTGATGATAGCCCAGATATTTCTGATGTTCCTTCATCAAATACTCAAGTACATACATCAAGTAAGACTTCTTCTTCAAAACGAATTTTGGTTACAAATAGA